CCATTGATGAAAACTGGCTTTTCGGCTCCTGGCAATAATCAAGCGCCAACGCTCTTCAGCCAAGTGTGGGACTTGGTGCCCACCCCCCCTCCTCCGTGCTTGGACTTTGTCTGGTTTGAACAGGGCAGGTGTCTGCTGTCACGGTTGCTGTGAATTCACACGTGCACCTGACCTGCTGTGACTAGAAAACACTGTTTCCTTGGAGTCTTCTATCACTTCTGACTCTAAAATCTTTCAGCCCGTCTTCCAAATACACACCTGAGCCTGGAGGGAAGGCCTGTGATATCGACCTCCCGTTTATAGCTCAGTATTCCGAAGTCTCTCATTCTCCACACACCGACAGAACTGGCATTTTCAAAAGCAACTTATGGCGCAGTACATATTGCGTTCCTACTGGTATAAACAGTATTGTAGCCCTGCATTCTGCGTGTGGAAACGTCTCAGCTTCTGGTGCTCAGGAAGCTGGTGGGCGTGGCGGCCTCTGGGGAGGAGGAGTGTAGGCGAGCACCGAAGACAGGGTTTTGATTTTCCGATTCACACCCTCCTCCTTGCACTTGAAGCATGTGATTGCTTTTTTTTCTATTTAACCGTGGTAAAATCCAGCTAAGAAGACGTCTTCTCTGAGCTACTGCCACCTTCCCCAGGCTTCTAATGGGCTGCTTAGACCTGCAATTCTCTGTGGCAACACATGCAGAGCCTCTAGCACAGTGGTTCTCAACCTGTGGGTCGCGACCCACAGGGATCAAATGACCCTTTCACAGGGCTCGCATATCAGATATCTTGCATGTCAGATATTCACATTGCAATTCATAACAGTAGCAAAATTAGCAGCTATGAAGTATCAACAACATGATTTTACTGTGGAGGGTCACCACCACATGAGGAGCCGTATTAAATGGTAGCAGCATTAGGAAGGTGGAGGACCACCCCTCTAGCAGAGTCTACCTGCCTGCACTCCTGCTTAGAGTCTCCAGGATGGGAGCACATGCTGCTGCTGGCATCCTTCCTCATGAAGAGAACATTTGGGGAGCACCATGGGAGATGTGGCAATATAAAACTCCCCCCAAATCTCTGGGAAGCTAGAAAATGTTGAAATACCTCTGGATGCGAGCAGGCTGCTGCCTAGAAAGCTGTGTCTTCCAGAGACTCGGAGCTTGGGGCTCCCAACTGCGCCTCTAAATGGCTAGCAGCATCTCCCACTCAAGGAAGAATTGAGCAGCTGAGGAGAGACAGGTGGAGCGTTAGTCATGGTAGCTGTACCCGCCTTGTGCTCAATAGCTTCTTGTTCTGGTCCACCATTTCCCAGATGCCTTTGCAGGTCATAGGGCTGTGCTCTGTTTGGGTGCTTTGGTGGTGGTCGAGCAGGACTTTCCAGAGCATCATCAAGAACTCCAGAGCCAAGGCAGGCATGGTGGGACCTTTAGTCCCAGCACTCAGGAGACAGAGACAAAAGGATCTCTGTGAGTTCGAGGCCAGCCTGGTCTACATAGCAAGTCCCAGGACAGCCAGGACTACAAAGAGAGACCCTGTCTCAAAAAACAAACCAAACAAAAACAGCAATAAAAAAAAAAGGAAAAACCCCTTTGGGCCCGCCAACCGTCGTCCTGTTCCTTGCAAGACCTAGGACAGGGTTCCTCCTGAAGGAACTTCAAGAGCTCTTGTTGGTGACGACAGGTAGCCCTCCGTGCCATCCCTGGCTCCTGACCTCCAAGAGTCTCATGACATTGTGGAGAGAAAAGCCCACTTCCTTCTCTAGGGCCATTATCTTTCAGTAATTAATCACTGAAGCCAAGTGCCGGTCCTAAGTGCTCAAACAGCCCAACCAGAGCCACTGAGTATTAGAACAGGTGAGCTGGCCCTCATGAAGCGCTGGGCAAGTGTAAGCAGAGGAGACTGAGCAAGGGAGGAATGGAACACAGTGTAACCCCAAAGTTCCACCTTCCAGGAAGCTAGGCATGGTGGGGTCTATAGTTCCCCATCCCCCATCACCAGTGGGCATTTTGCCTCAAACTATGCTCAAACTATAGAGACAATGTGGCCCAGGGCTACAACCTAGTCGCCCAAAGGCCCAAATTTGGGATATGGTGTCTTTGATGACCTGTCAGTTGCCGCTTTCCATCCTGGGCAAGCTACCACCTCTGTGGCTCTGGTATCTCCTCTATGGAAGAGTAATGACTTCTCTTTCTCCATCCGGGCCCAGAAGTTGCTCTGTATATGACAGTTAAAGTCTGGCCCTCAGCCAGGACCATGCCCCCTTCACCGTTATCCAGCCACAGAAATCATCTCCCTCCTTGGAAATGATGTCTGAGGAAGCACAAGTCTTCCCTGAGAATGGCTTATGGGACAACAAGGCAGTACTGTTGTCCAGTAAAACACTATGGTCATTGACTTCACTGGAGAGTCTGACTAAGGTATAGGATGTGTGATGTAGCATGAATCTTAGAGGTCTTATTAATAAAATCAAGCCCGAGGCCAGTTATTGGGGTGAATGCTGGAAGATCAGAGACACAGAACAGGCCCCAGCTTCCTCACCTTGCCAGGTCCTCAGCTGATCCTGTTTCCTCAGACTGGAAGCCTCTGAGTCCTCATATCCGAATAGATCTCAGCTGAACTGCTGCTCGAAGCCTAAAAGCTTAACCAGCCAAATGCTTCTAGTTTCTGGTCCTCACGCCTTATATACCTTTCTGCTATCTACCATCACTTCCTGGGATTAAAGGTGTGTGTCACCATGCCTGGCTGTTTCCAATGTGGCCTTGAACTCACAGAGATCCAGAGGGATCTCTGCCTCTGGAATGCTAGGACTAAAGGCTTGTGCTACCACTGCCTATCCTCTATGTTTAATATTGTGGCTATTCTGTCTCTGATCCCAGATAAATTTATTAGGGTGCACAATATTTCGGGGAACACAATACCACCACAGCGTGAGAATAAACAAAATCATGCTGGTAGTTCTTTGGGATGAGAAGGATATTTAGAAGCTTCATTTTTTAAAAGTTGTATTTTTTAAAATGAAGTAGGAATCATGGTTTGGGTACACATAAAATAAAACAAGTATCACCTTGCCCAGTGGTGGTGTCTGCCAGCCCTAAGCTCACTGGCTCTTCTGAGCCAATGATCAAGCCCTACTTCTTGGTCTTCAGCAGGTGGGCAGTCAGTGGTGGGGAGAGGTCATGTGACAGATGGAATGGACACCAGGCCCTCACAGTGAGAGTCCTGCCTTGTGTGAGCCCCTCCTGCATTCCATTCCTCTGCCCTGAAGACCGAAACCTAAACTAGGGATAGCTCAGTCTCCTGCAGTTGAGGAAAGGACCCAGAGCACCCAAAAAACCGGCCATGGACGTGTGTCAAGAAGAAGAAATGAAGTTTGTGGTTGGAAACACAGGGACTTAGGGTTCCCTCTCTCCCAAGCAGTGATGTGGAGCAGCCAGCTGTCCCAGACAGTCGTAAGACAGGGATCTGCCTGCACTTTGACTGTGTCCAGGAAAAGGAACCTGGATTCAGCCTGCCAAGCAGATACTAACAAGATCCATTTCCATGATACTAGCAAAGTAGGTCAGGATATCATGAGCCCATTTTGCGTGTTGGGAGACGACCAGCCTGAGTGAGAAATAGTACAAGACTAAAGCACATGGCTGTTAGAGCTTCGAAGAGCTCCCAGACACTATCACTGCACTCTTGGTACAGAAAAGACACTCACCTTTATGCCTGAACTCTGTGCTGTTCACCCCGGAGGAACAGCCAACAGCCTGCCCCAGGACAGCTGAGGACACCCAAGCCCCATGTAGCTTTGTCTGGCATCTTCCAAGGCCTGGTCTTTCCTCCTAGGGCCAAGGAAGGTTGTTGTGACACTAGGAAGGCTCAGACAGCCTGAGAAGAGGTGTGGACACCAGTGAGTGTGGAGTAAGAGGTCCTTGTGCACACAAGTGAGCACTGGGGGAGTCAGGAAGGTTAAACATGAGTGTCTCTTCAAAGGAAGGACTCATTAACCCGTCTTCCTCCTGGAATGCTGGGAAAGGATGTAATTTACATCCTGGTCATCTTTGCTATCTGTAGGGCCAGGCTTCACCCAAATACCCCAGAATACTATGTTTATCCCAGATCTTTCTCCCCTAAATCTTGAGCATTGTTTCTAAGTCCTTAAAACCCATCCTTGTGAGAGATGCCGTGTGTACTTTACAATAACCTAAGTGACTTCTATGTTATCTTAGATAGAGCCCAAATCCTGACTCCCTGTTTACCTCAGTCATTCTCCACAGACCCTTATCCTCAGCATTGTTTCTAAGTCAACAGAACCCATCTTTAAGGAAGAGTTTCAATGTAAACACATCTTAGCTTTGTTGTACACTTGGGACTGAGTTAATCATCATCAGGAAACTTTTTTTCCCAAATTGTGCTGTGCTTAAATCTGGTTAAAATATCCTGCTTGGTGTCAGACTCCAGAATTTTGGCCCAGCACTGGCTAACCTAGTCAGGCTGAACCAAGTTTCATTCTTGTCTCTCCACAGTCATTCCAGGTGTAGAGCTTGCAGGGACCCCCACAAATGAGGTTAGCACCATGGTAGGAGGCAGTTGGAACTCTGAGGCTTCAGCCTCTGGGGCAGTTTTCCAGTGAGTGGAGTAAGTCTGCCCTCCGCAGCTACAAGCTCTAAAGTGCCAATCAACTTCAAATGGAGAACATTAGGAAGGATGTGGAATGGTGCAGACCATGTGCCAACTTGATCTCTATCATTATTCCTCAAACAGTACAAGCTAGCATTTCCATAGTATTCACTGTCAGTCACCTGACGAGGATTTGAAGTCTATGAGAGGACGTATTCAGGTTCAATGCAATTACCAGACCATCTCATCTGAGGGACCTGAGCCTCCACAGACTTGGTCCACTTGTGGTCTTGGAGTCAATTTCCTGTGGACACCAAGGGACAATCAAACTTTCTTGAGTAACTGGTTCCATGCAGTAGGCTGTTTCTCAGGATGCTCAAAACATTGGTGATAGTCTGGTATTTTAAACTTTGATTTTAATTAAATGTTGACAAGTACAAGTTAGTTACAGGTCTTAAAGCATTGTTAAAATAAAGGGAGTTTTGTGTCCAGTGTATAAACAGTATGTTTTTATTTTAGAGACTGGCTCATTTTTCTGTATCTCATAAATATATGAGCCTCATTCATACAGCATCATCGGCATATAGGCAAGAACCATAGCACTCCACCCCACAGCCAGGCACTGAACAATGCCAGATCTGCAGAGGCAGGGATGCCAAAGTATTAGCATTTATGCATCTCTTTCTGGCCAGAAAAATCCAGAACACAGCATCCAACTCTGGCCTCCTCTGAAGGGTTCATCCACACAGCTGCCAGACAGCAGCCCCAACCCCTGATCCTTGGAGCTCAGAAGACCCAGGAAAGGACCCAGGGTCAGAGGCAAGATCCACACAAGTGCTTCACAGTGGGATCTTACAGCATCTGAGGCCATCATAAGTCGCCTCTTGGAGGCAGGAACAGCCCACATCATTTCCCAAATCTGGAATTTCTAGTGTTTCCTTCCACATCCCTGATAATAGCAGAACAGACCTGGATCCATGGCCCACTGTGGGTTTGTCACATTGCACTGGAGCCACTTATGACATTTTTAGGATGGCTGTCACTCTCTGTCAGCCACGGGAAGCCTGACCTGTGGTCACATTCCAAAGAACTAGGGTAAGGGCTTCAGCTTGGGAATCCCGAGGGGGATTCACAGCTGAGCTCACAATGCTCTCCTTGTTCCAAAGGCTCCACGGTGACACCTTTGGAGCATAAAACCCAACCCACAAAAGGCAAGAAAGGTATTCATGGTGTTCTAAGTGAGGCCTTGGGTGCATGTTAATAAGAAACACACCCATGGTGTTTTCTTCATTTAGAAATGTATAAAAGATTTGAAAGATAAGAAGGGCACAGACCAAAATGTGATCTATGACCATTTCTGGCTCCTGAGGTCACCACTGGTTTCTGTTGGTTTGTCTTAATAATTTTTTAAATAAGACTAAGATCTAAGTTACAAAAATATTCGCATTAAGTACTCTAAAATGACTACTGTGCCTACCCATGGACTTTCTTGTTGTGACTGGTCTGCCTTGGGACCATGAGCATCATAGCAGCCAACGACAAAGGAAGACGTCTGTCAGTTACTTCCAGAGTATAGAAAGAATCCAGGACTCAAGTAAGACCCCGGTGCCTTGCTCCTTTAAGCCTGAGAGGAAATGTCATCTTTCCCAGGGGCAGTCTGCACAGAGAACATCCGGTGCTGTAGATAATGCTGCCCTTGGAGTAGCACAGACTATTTCCTGGAACTGAGCCCTCTAACTGCCATTAGCCAGGGCAGCAGCTGTCCCGGCCAGTTAGAACCAAGGAGCACTTTGGCCCTGGAAGGCAAGTAGCATAGCCCCCCCCCAAGAGAGTCTCCTCGGGTCCAGAGACACTGTAACGCCTGGAAGGAGATCCCCATAACCTTCCAATCCATCTCCTGTCGGACTTCGAGAATGACAGAAGGTGGGTTATGAGTCCCACACCTCCGACAGGCATGGATAGCAGCCATCAGGCAATGCCAGACCCCCTGACCAGTTGGTACAGCTTTTCTCAGCATTGGAAGCTGGCCTCAAAGCCAGGCCTCTGACATCCTCACTCCCAGCCAGAGCCCAGTTCACCTTGTACGGCCTACAAAACCTGAGGCAGAGTCTGGACTCACTCACGTGACTGTCTCTCCTCTCTCACAGGCTGCTGGCTCCTGCCCAGCTGAGCTCTTAGGAAGCACGTGGTACGTTTTGGTGGCCCTGTGCTCAATTCCACTGCCTGGACACATGCCCCTCAGCTTCCGGCTTCCGAATCTACTGTAGTCTAGGCATGCTGCCCTGAGGCTTCACTCAGGTCCAGGACATGCCAGCTTCCATGGGCTGCTTCCAGGAGCCACAGCTCCTCAGAGTGCTCAGTGCATCCCAGCATTTTCTGTGCAGTGGGGCCCCTGTCCCCGCACAATGACACTTGCCCTTTTTCTGTCTCCACTGACCGACACACTCTTTAGACAGATGGGTAGGCTCACTGTGGCCAAGTTCTGAGGCCTCATGGGCACTCCCGTCCTTTGGGGGGACTGAGCATCCAGCTCCGTCAGGTCAGGCTGCTACTTTGTAGCTATCCGGCACGTGTTACTCGGCTTCCTTTCACTATAGTGAGATGCCTGATATAATTAATTTTAAAAATCTTTATCTCATAGTCCAATACTGTCCAGGTCCACTGTTTTGGACTTCTGGTGAAGGTACCTGTTGGTAACAACCCAGAAGGAACAGCCGAGCAAACTGTTCACCTCGTAATCAAGAAGCAAAGAGAAAAACCAGTAAGGCCCCTAAATCTCTTCCAGGGTGTGCCTCAGAGACAGAAGGAAACCCCCACTAGGAGACGGATGGGAACCTCATCTCCTAAAAGTTCCACAGCCCCCAGGAACACCGCCCTGGTGACCAATTCTTTAACACGGGGCCTGGAGGACCCTAACTGTGGCAATGCCTCAGTCTCAATGGGAGGAGTCAAGGGAAAGAACTCCAGAATGACTTATCCCCAAGGGGCACAAGAAGAAGAACGAGTACCCACTCCATACCTGGGAGCACGGGTTATCTTTTCCTCAGCTCCGGCTGCACACCCTGAGACCCTCAGACACCACACACCACCCTCAAATTCCTAACACTGAGGCCTGTAGAGTCCAGGGGTCACCATCCCTCTCTCTCTCTCCTTCCCTCCCTCCCTCCCTCCCTGTCACCGTTCCTCACACACAGGGCAAGCATGAGATCTGTCTGCTGTGCTCTTGTGGCCAGTCATGGTGTTACAGGTAGCCCACCAGACAGGACCACTCAAAGTTTATAGCCAACTGAGTCTTTATTCCAGCCAGCTGGGACCATGCCCAAGTGTTCAGAGACCTAGGTGTTGTCCTGAGTGTCCAGAACACAGGATTTTGAAGGGCAGAGACCTCGTCCAGAAACCTGACTGGGCAGCTGCAGGGGACCTTCCACAGCGTGAGCAGTTTGAAGCCAGCAGTTTTAACAGAAGCTAAGATAAGCGGTCAGCTGGCCCTCAGGGGCTTCTCCACAAACAGGCAACTAAGGGGAATGGTTAGCTGGAGGAGGGTCCACACCAACGAGCAGTGTTAACAAAGGTTGAGATAAGTTAGCTAGTGCATCCTGACCTTTGGTTCCTGGAATAGAGTTGGGTAATTTTCCATGGGATTCTCCATCCAGAGGAAAACCTGGAAACAGCTTGGGCATGAATACAAGATGGAGGAACCTCCGCACTGGCTTGCCCTGTCACGGGAAAGAGTAGAGACTCTGATCCAGAGTGAGGTGTGTTTTCTGCTTTAGCGCCTGTCCCTATTACAGGGGCTCCAGGCAACAAGGCCCCGCAGAGGAAGGCCGATTGCTCAAAGCAGGGCTGGCTGACCAAACTGAGCCAAGACCTCCCTCACCCTTCAGTTCTCAGGAAAGGACCACACGGAAGCCGCAGCCTGGGACATGGAGGGTGAGGACCTAAATGCCACAGAGAGACAGAAAGATGAGGCCTGAATGGAGGCCCGGGCTCCCTTGTGGCCAAGTAAACATGCCACTCCTCCACGTGGACCAGAGCAGGCAACCTCAGTCAGCATTAGCTCTCAGACATGGCAGGACCTCAGGGAAACAGGAGTACAGCCTCTCCCACAGCAGGGGAAGGACACCGGTGACCATGATGGCCAGCAGGCGGGGGTTGGCCAAAATACAAGATTTGCTTGCCTGGGGCCTGGTGGGGAGGAAGACCCCCATAGGTGCCAGCCTCCCTCGCCAGATCCTCCCAGAGCATCAGCCCGGCTCTCCCTTGGCCAGAATCCTGGAGCAGTTCCCTCAACAGCGTCCAGGGGGCGCCCATATGCAGCAGCCCAGCCACTATCCAGCCTGCCCGCTGTCTGTCTATCCCCAACAGGAGAGGACCCGCTAAGAAACGGATGCCTCTGCACTCGTGGGCCCTCTAAGAAGGGCCTGTGGGCTTGGTGAGTTTACTTTGCTGAGTATGATATGGGGAAGAAGGAATGCTTGTGGCTGTGTGTAGATGTAAATATAGACACCAAGGTGACCAGACAGCTAGGCACCCAAGAAGTCCTGTGTGCCTGGGGGCCAGGTTAGGGGAGGAATAAGCACGGAACTTTTTTTTTTTTTTTAAGACAGGACTTCTTTGTGTAGCCTTGCCTGTCCTGGAACTAGTTCTGTAGACCAGGCTGGCCTCGAACTCAGTGATCTGCCTGTGTCTGCCCCCCAGAGTGCAGGATTAAAAGAGTGTGCCACCATTTCCCAGCCGGAACTTTTTCCTTAACACTTTGCATTCTCTGTGCAATCAGAAAAATGCTAAGCCGGGCGGTGGTGGCACACGCCTTTAACCCCAGTGCTCAGGAGGCAGAGGCAGGCAGATCTCTGTGAGTTCGAGGCCAACCTGGTCTACAAAGAGAGTTCCACGACAGCCAGGACACAAAGAAACCCTGTTTCAGAGAGAGAGAGAGAGAGAGAGAGAGAGAGAGAGAGAGAGAGAGAGAGAGAGGAAAACATGTTTAATCTGTCTTGACTTTTCCATATTATAGGCTTCTACAATCTCTTCTCTACCTCTCCCTTCTCTCCGTACGTCTTTTTGTGTCTCTGTCTGTATGTCTGTCTGTCTCTATTTCTTGCTATCTCTTTGTGTCTCTCTGTATGTCTATAGCTCTGTCTTTCTGTGTGTGTGTGTGTGTGTGTGTGTGTGTGTGTGTGTGTGTGTGCCAGTATGCACGCTGTATATTGTACAGGCCCAGGTAGGACCCTGTGTCCCCTCTGGGTTCTGATGGTCAGAGTCACACAGGAACAGGGGAACAGTGGAAAAAGCTGAGACTCTGGGGGAATGACGCTTCCTATGGAAGTTTTCAGGTGAAACTCACCTCTAGAAATGCAAGAGCCCCGATACTCACGGCAGCCACACAGAAATAGGCTATAACCAAGAGCCTGTCCTTCACCATGCCCGTGTGCAACAGGAAGCAGCTCTGTCCCAAAGCCCCTAAATCGGATACAAAAGGGAGGTTCCTGGATTCTCTGCAGACCCCATACCACCTGGCTCCAGGAGGAGGTTCTGCCCACATGACCTCATTCAAGAACCACAAATCGAGATCCAAGAAGCATGAGCTCATCACTGTATGAACCATAGACAGATGCAGGCTAGCCAGGCAAGCTGGGCTACTAACAACTCCATGGTCCTTTGGACTCCAATCTACGCTGAACTTGCCCACCAATGTGCAAGAGAAGTGCAAGGACCCCCACACACACACACAACAGAGTCCCCCACCCCCACCCCCAGCAGCCACTAGGATAAGAAGAAGGCAAAGAAAAGCCTAGACCAGGCCTGTCTATCCATGCCTGAGGCCAACTGGGAGAAGCCAGAAGGCAGTGCTGACTTCCACATTCCCCCTACCCACCATGCCTTTGTCTAGAGATGGGTCTCTGCATCGTCCCCTTGGGGCTTGTGACTTTCTTACTACCCACAGAGTATGACAGAAATGAAGGACCATGACTCCAAAAGTCAGTCAGAAAAGGCAGTGGAACAGGCACTCACCCTTGAAGTGCTCAGACACCAAGCAAGTTATTTGACTAGGTCGAGGCCATCATGCTGAGAGGGACCACCTACGATAAAGAGGACACATGGATAAAAGTCAGGTAAGGTCCCAGGTAAGAGCCAGCACCCGGAGGTAGGATAAACATAGAAGACACCTTCAGAACATTCTACCTGCTACCGAGGCCTCCTCAGCCATAGCCAGGTCATGGGCTGAGACCTCATGCATTACATGGTAGTGGTTAATCACCCCTGCTCTATCCTGATCCCAGGCCCACACACACACAGCATGGAAAGACAGATGCCACACCCTGAGTTCTGGGATACAGACAACCAAAAATGTTCAGAAGCCCAATCAACTTTCCACTGTCACGGAGGCTCTAGGGACCTGGGAAGCCAAGGGGTAGGGTGCTGGGAAGCCAAGGATTAGAGACCTGGGAAGCCAAGGGTTAGGGACCTGGGAAGCCAAGGGTTAGGGACCTGGGAAGCCAAGGGTTAGGGACCTGGGAAGCCAAGGGTTAGGGTGCTGGCAAGCCAAGGGTTAGGGACCTGAGAACCAAGGGTTAGGGACCTGGGAAGTCAAG